CAATCCAGTGATGCTGGCTCAGAGACACTGCCATTCAACCTTGCCTGCAGTTTTTATCACCCAGGGAGCTTCACAAGAGACTGATGATCCAGGCCCACCCCCGAAGACGCGGACGTGATTGCTCTGGATACATGTCAGCTGACTCTACTGTGCACCTGCAGTCAAGACCCTTCACCCTTCTCCTCCCGTCTCCGGCTCCTGCCGCGGAGAAAGCTCCCTTTCAGCGCGGTCTACGGGCCACCAGCACCCACAGCTTCCGGGAGCATGTCAGAAATTCAGACTCTCAGGCCCCATCCCAGACCTTCTGGATCAGAACCTGCATTTTCACAAGATCCCCAGATGTGTGGTGTGCATGTCACACTTTAAGAAGCACTGATCTAGGCCTCAAAATCTCTAGCCCGAACTCATCCACAGTCTCCCAGGGGCCTTCTTTTCTCTGTTCTTTCCCATTTCAAGGCCATCTCCATACTGTTGAAGGGGTTCAGAATAAGCCACCGTAAAATTATTTTGAGCTGAGGCAGTTGAATTCCTGAAATCTGCCTAAAAGCAGAGTCTCTCAAAAGAACTCAGTGGTCATAAATCCCCTCTCGCTGAGCAACTCTGTTTCTTCTCTTCTCTGACCCAAAAAGACATTGTCACAAGACCATCATATCTCCCATCTATTCTCCTAAGGGCCCATTTGTCTTTCCAAAAAGTCGTTTGCTTTTCCATAAGTTCCCTTTCTCCCCCTCTTTTAAGAAGTCATTTGTCCTCCCCAAAGTACCCCTCTGCCCCTTCCTATCCCCCTGGTAAGATGGTATATAAGCCACAAATTCTAACCACCTCCTTGAGTCACATTTCTTTGTGAACTCTCCTGTATGTATGTAATTAAATCTGTTTTTTCTTTTGCTAACCTGTCTTTTATGAGTTTAACTTGCATTCCCCCAAGAACTGAACCTAAGAGGGTAGAGAAAAAGCTTTTCCTCCCCAACACTATGTACCTGATCATGTCATGCTGGTGCCCATAGGATAAAGCACAAACTTCTTCACCTGGCAACAAGGCGACTCAAAACCAGGCTCCTGCCTAC